TAGTTAAATCAACAAATCATTAATTTTACAAGAGATCTTAAAGACTTATGGTACATATTAAAATATTTAAAAAATATTAATTTTTTTAACATTAATACCAAAATTTAGATTTTGAATTGTACTCAATCTACATAATAACTTTTTCTTGCTGATGATGATTTCAATTATTGAGGTTATTTATTACAATATTTATTAACAATATAACATAGTAAAAGTTTTTATTCATTTTTTTTTTACCATAGGAGAGTGAATTGGTAATATTTATTTCCTTCATTTGAAGCTCTGCACCTTTACTACTTCAAAACATAAATTGTTACTTTTTTTATTAACTTTTTTTTTTTTTTTTATCGTGGGAGAGTGAGTTGCTAATGTATATTTCCTCGTTTAATGCTATGTACTTTTGTGATTTTAAAATATAAATTGTTGGACTTTTTTACATGTATTTTTATAATATTTTTATAGGATAGATAAATAATAGTTAGGTTTTTTCATGTAATTCTTGTTCATTTGATTAAAAAGAATATTTTAATTTGTCATTTTGAGCAAAATATTTATCGAGCAAACTTCTAAGAAAAAACATTTTAAAATTATAATATTTTATTAAATAATTATTAAAAAATTAAAATAATATATTTTAAAAATAAATATAAAAATTATTTCAATCTTTTCCTGTAATGTTTTAATAATATAACAATTTTGATATATTTTTTTCTTTTAAAATTTAAAAGATCCAACTACTAAACATTAAACTCTTATCATATATATATATATATAAATGACTTATCCGTGCACTTCTTTTGATAATCCCATGCTTTATTTGTTCAAACCTATAAATATCACAAAATCAAGATTAACAAGTTTGATTGCATTGTTAATGGTAATACATTGTTCCAGTTTAGATTGGGTTATTTCCTTCCAAAGACTTCTTGGATTCCCAGAAGAACTAGAGTATAAAAACAAAAATGTTTTGGTTGGACTAATACAAATGAGAAACAATGCCTGCGGACACGCTCATGGCCATCTCAAAGGATCAGAACTGGAACTGCATGGCGGGTGCATATTCAAGAGCTTCAAGGTGAGCAGCCATGGCCTTGTTCATGGGTGGTGGGCCGCACCTCAGAATCTGCAGATCCCCGTATAATCAGACATTTCATTCACTCAATTGTCTTTGTTCTTAGATATTTGATTTTCTTATTTCTATGATATAAATAGCTAGACATCATTTGTGTTCATCAAGAGTTCAATCATGATTCAAGAAATGTTTGTTGAATTAGTAATGTGTACCTGGACATCAGGTGCTGGTGCAGGGCAGTGGGTTTCAATCATCTCCTTTGACACAAAGCCAACACCACCATCCCAAACTTCAGGGGGCTGAGGGACAAAATACAGGGCATTTTATTAAGAAAATGGAGATCTGGTATTGTATATAAAATGAAAAAATATGGCAGATTGTTGTGTTGCCCCACAAACACAAGATTTTAGATATTTCACACGGGATCTCTGGATTTGTATAGCTGCTAAACATGATAGGAAGGGGACTGGGGCCAAGGGAGTAAAACATTAAATTAAAATTAAAAAAAATTATCAGGTTTGGTTATTAGTTTTGAAAATTCAAACTTAACAAGTTGTTGATTTTAGTTTTTAATTTTGGCTTTCAGTTGTTAATTTTAGTTGTTCAAATTTCGACAACCAAAACCAAAAACCAAACACAGAAATGATACTAAAGCGGTCCTAAACTACCTGAAAGATGCCACTCTTAAGATCCGATAAAAATTTGGCAAATGAAAATATTAACAAACAAAACCAGGTAGTACGAATGAATAAAGAACAAAAAAGATATGGAAAAAGGTTGGCAGAAACTGCAGCTAACCTGGTTCAACACATAGAAGACCTTGAAACGATCTGGATACTTAGCAGCAAGGCCATCCAATTCTTCCTGCAAATACACAAGAGATGAGTTCATCTTTTATATCATCTGGGGCATTTGCACCCCTGGTAGCAATAACAATCACATAAGACTCTAAAAGTGTGGTGTTGACAAATACAAGCAGCTATTAGAGAAAACTAGCATGCTGAACCCCACGTTGCGGGGACTCTTTTCAACCAAATGATTTTTGCTACTTATTTGGTATTTTGTTTAATAATGTATAACGAAATTAGATGGATAAGAACATTATATCCACTCCAGAATTTGATCAAATTGGATTCATAGAAAAAAGTTTGACATTTAACTAAAGACACCCAAATTACAAATTACACAGCAATTGTATTCACCCGGAGGTCATGCTTGGTTGGATGGAGTTGCTACTCCTTGGTCAAACTATAAAATTAAAGTAAATTACAGACAAATCTTGGCAAATGAGGAATGGCTATTTCATGGAAATTAGTTGAAAGAAGGAATAGATAAAAACCTAAGGGGAGATGTTACTAGCTATTCCCTCCTTTTTCAATTTATTAATTGATGAAATCCTGTATTAGATATTCCTCATTTGCTATTATCTCCATCTAATTTACCTTGTTTTATAGTTTGACTATGAAATAATGATTCCTTTAGCCAAACAAGCAGTAAGTCCCTAACCAAGTAAAAACTTTTTAAGTTTTATCTGAGTACATGTTTTATATTTATGATGATGGGTTCAGTGAAAAAACAGTAGCTTTATGTTGTTTTCTTGACTGCAGCCTTTCTAATTTGGTATTCCTTGACTACAAGCTGAGCACATAAAGCTGCAGCACAATTACACACTTATTGCATTACTCTTATCAATGTGTTTAACACCACCCTCACAAATTCTGGTCATCTCATCTAATCCGAAAGATCAAACCAACAACAATTGGATCAAAGTGTGAAAACACGCTCCCTAACATAGAGTAAGCTTCTATAACCAGTAAAATATAGAAAATAGAAAGTCTCAAGGCTCAACTGGACCCCACCATAAGAGGAATGCAGATAGACACTCATAGAAAGGAAGAGACGGGAAGGAAAATAGAGAAAGGAAGAGACAGTGAGGAATTGCTAGTAGCAAATATTCTTTAGATTCATACTATGACGTAAAATACTACTTCCATTTTCTATTCAAAAAAATCAGAAAAATTTTGAAGCAATAATGTAACATAGATACCAAATCAAGAAATTCTTGCAATTGCAAGAACAACTTTAAAATTTCTTGTCCATTAATATTTGTTCCTGCAGGCTGAGTCAAGCTCTCACTGGATTTAGACGTGCCAATACTATGTTTGGACAAGATGCATGAAATAAAGATGTCTTCACTACCATATGATGCACAGAATTGCACTGCCACTAAAGAACAGGCTAAGATAATTTAATCTGTACAGGAAACATGGCCTTGGGTATTTTGCATTTGTTATCTTGGATAATTCAATATATTGAAAAGTAAAAAGATGAATGAAAAAGAAGTAGGAACCAAGATTACCTTCAAAAGAATGTCATCATATGTGACATTGGCATAGATAAGGTGCACCTTAGTCTTGTCTTCTGGGTTCTCTAATATGGCTCTGGCAACCTAAAACAGGAACAGAAGAAAGAAAATGATGAGACATACAAATCATCTCTCACAAAGGAGCAACCATGTGAAAAAAATCATTCCTCAATAACTAACATACTTGGAACATGGGAGTTATGCCAGATCCTCCAGCTATCATCCCAAATGCTCTAACCTGACCAGGCTGATACTTGAACCTTCCCTGGTACAAACAATTCAAATACCAATTGTGTAAACTAATTACAACTGCACATGAATGACATAATGTCCACCCACTGACAACCAGCATAAATCACACATAGGCAGTAGGAAGGTCAGCTAGGCAGAAAGTCCACTCAAGAGAGAGCAAGAAGAGACCATTAACATTGTTAGTTCATCAATATTGGGAGAAAAACCACTCAGCTGTATGGGCAAAAAAGACACTCAACTGATTACATGAATGACAGGGAAATCTGGGATTCGCATTTATTATGGCAAATCATGTAACTTTTGGTGCATTGCATTATAATTGTTTATATCCTAAATTATAGTCAATAAGGCATTGGTCTAATAACAAAGGAAAACTCAACCCAACATCAAATGAGAGTCATAAGGAATAACAGGATGATTCAACAATTCTTGTTGGAATAATAATATAATAGCTAGAATACACAGCAGAAAGTGTATTATAAAATGCATTCACAACTACTGGATCATGGTCAAGCACTAATAAGAGGTACTTAACATGCCCTAAGATGTAAAATGGTTATGCACAAACTGTTGCAACTAAGGGTCCATTCCCCATTTTTTTGGGACCAAGTTGAAAACATTTCTATTTTTTTTCATAATAATTTTTATTATAAAATTAGCAACCCCTTTTACAGGATTTCTGAAATTGGACAGGTAACAACAAATGGGAAAAAGAAGAAGACAAAGAAGAAGAGATGGTATTAAGAGAGGGAGACCTATCTCGTATCAAGATAATAAGAGATAAGATGGAAGAACTAGAAGATCAAGAATCAAGAATATTTTGATGAGCTTGGATATGTTTGAGAAATAAGAGGTGTGATGCTACTAATACAATCAATTCTTAGAAAATATATTATATTATATCTCTAAGCAACCAGTGGAAATTTTTTATCACCCTTTTCCTAGTGACATTGTAGTCTCATTGAACACAAACACATAGTAGCTGAAGGTTGCACCAAAAAGTATTTATGATTTTTTATCCAAAGATAACTTATACCTTGGGTCCCTTCACAGCAAGATAATCACCAACACGCATCTCTCGGAAATGGTGTGACATTCTTCCTTGGGGATACATCTACTCACAAGCAACATGCAATGGGGAAATTCACATTAAGTAAAAAGCACCATAGTGAAAATAGTAAATTCGAATCTATTCATAAATAACACAAAACACTATCTCCAACCATAACAATATTTAATATAATGTACCTTAATGACTAGTTCAAAATGCCCAACATCAGAATCCAATGTTGTTGGGGTGTAAGGTTTAATAACCTCTTCACCCTGGCTATCTTTGCCCCTGTCAGCATGAGAAACACATACCACATTACTATCCTCTACAACCACGTAAAAGACCAACTGAGAGATTTATAGTAGTATGCATATAGTAGTATGTATATAAGGACATTCATAAACATTCAAGTAGAAGTCATGGAAAAGAAAAAGGACCAACTCAATTATGGAACCTGCAACTTATATGTTGTCCGATTGGAAGACCCAAAACTGAAGTAGGAGTTGGAAGTGCGAATGTAAACTTTGCCACATTATGGCTCAACTGTGCGCGCTTGACAAGTTTAAACTCCTTGAAATTCTCAGGATCTAGGGAGCCTACAAGAACATATCATAACATGAGCAACTTCAAAGAATAAAAAAAGCAAGAGCATTACTATAACTAACTGAATAGGGACAGGAAGGAATCAAACATAAAAGTGGATCTGTAATTCAGCAAACATTATTCGTGAATGGAACTGAACAAGAGTGTCAATAGACCAAGACAAAGCTGCTAATGTCTAGCAATAAGCAAGATGGTTTAAAATCTTTAAAGATAAGCCTTGAGTGCATTAACAAACTTTAGCTTCTAAGCAATTTCCATGGTAGTTGTGGATATCCATAACCCACTTTAGAAAACAGAACATAGAAACTGAAACATATGATATTAAATATTATCTGAATCCAAGTAGTTGGGTTACAGCATTATTGAGTCGGCTAAAAGTTGAAATTCTTAACAAGCTCACTGCTGCTTTTAGGACCACTGAGTAAGAAAATAACTCAATCATCTGAATGAGAAACATAGTGCATTCTTCCATCAAAACTTGTAAACCAAACTTGGTATTAAAATTAAGAATAGAAGATCAAACATACGTTATAAAAATGATTTAGATAAATAACATCAATCCACCAGAACTGCTCTTTAAGCAGAAATCAATCAAATTCTCAAAGAAAAGTATTTCCAGCTATTTCAATCTCTTTTTCTAGTTCTTGCAAAAGAAACAACTACTTCTGGAAAGAGCTACACTAATAACGACACTAATCCCCACCAGAGACAATCAGACAAGGAGCTGCATTAGGTTACAAATCACAGAATTTTGAGTCCCAACAATTACTTGTATTGAACCTAAAAAACTAACATCTTTTCATTACTGTTAGTACTCACATCTTTTCATTTCAAGTTACTCTCAGTTTTCAGAGTTAACATCATATCTAACATACCAACTACTAGCATCCAGTAACCAAGATGGATAAACCAATTAAATACTAACTGCAATTCTGATTCAAGACTAATAATTTCCAGTAGTTGAAATTTAAGGAAAAATGACAAGGACAGAAAAAAAAAAAAAAAAAAAAAAAAA